AAAACATGGATGAAAAAAATCTAACATGACAGGTAGAGAGAGAACCCTGAGCCATGAACATAAATAAGTTTTCATAAGAATCTAAAGAATCAGAGTCGCTAAACAACAGAGGCCACTGATCCTGGAGCTAGTATTCTAAGTAGACATGTACCTCTCGATGTGAAATATTTAGATGACATCCTTAATGCTTCATTATTCTTCCTGTCTCCACATTAATCCTTTTTATACTGATAGTTTTCAACACATCCTCTGCCAAGAAATGGACAGTGTGCAAAGAAAAATCCATTTTCTAGCGCCACAGATATTAATAATTAACATTTCTATCATGAAACTTGTAATACCAGTTTGCTAAAATAAAGGTAAGCTTTTTATTGTCATTTTAGAATTTAATTTAGTCATCAAAGGTTACTCAGCTTCATGTTTATAAATTATACAGGGCAGGGATGTATCGCCTCTTGATCAACCTGTTTTAGAATTATGACTGTACAAGTAAGGAGGTTCATAACCTTGTTTGAATATCTGACCCAGCCTTGAAAGAACGTGATTTACGGGATTGACAAACCCTCCTCATTTTAAGAATCCGCATCTGAAAACAAGATTTTCCTCTGTAACACAAAGAGCAGTACAACTCTTCAAGAAGTTACAACTTTGTTTATGCAAGAGTCATACAAGGTTACAAGGTTTGAGAATAGTCTGCCAAAAAAAGAGTGTGGATGTTAGAACAAACAAATAGCTACATACTGCATAAAATGCTGCAAGTTTTGAAACTATGTGTTTCATAATTTAGCACTAGTTATGCTATAGTATGCTCTAATTTACCATTTGATAATTGCTGTTTGGGAAATACTAAAATATTACCAGAAGTCACCTAAATCATACAAAGGTCAAGCTCTATTTTCCATGCTGGATGAGATACTAAAATCTGCATGACTTAACCATGCCAGTCCCATTAAAAGTTAACGAGACTCAGATACTCTCTTCTGAAAATCTCACCCATTTTCTTTTCTAGGACTGCTGGTGCCAATCATCAATATTTTTACAACAGCATTGTAACTATCTGGCATTATAAAAGTAGCAAAATTGTTTCCTGGAGAAGAACGAATACAAAACTCCAAAATACTGCCACACTTCTGTTTAATTTTCTGTACAAATGATGAGAAGATTCTGTGAAGGCAGACTTTTTTATAGGGTCTGCAAAATGTCTATTGTAATCAAACATCTGCCCATATTAAGCACTGTAGAATGCCAAATTCCAGAGAAGTAGGGGGGAAAACACTCTATAGTTGTGCATAGAATCACTTTTATGTGTTCGTTCCACTGCCCTTTCTACAATTTTTGTGATGATCTGCAGGGGAAAGAATTCTGAAGGCAAAAGTAAATTCCAGTGCCATTTCTATGATTGCAGAATCATGAAAAGCAAAGGGATTGGACTATATCACAGTATTTATATTATTGTTATAAATCCAAATGTTTATGGGCACTCATCATCACCTATTTTCTACAAACACAAAATGAACAGGTGACCTATCGCCAGGTGACCTCTGGCAAACAGAGGCTAGAGACACCATCCTCGCCCATTCCAGCAAATAGCTATTGATGGACCTGTCCTCCATGAATGTATCTAGTTCTCTTTGGAACACTGTTATAGTTTTCAACATCACAGTATTGTATGGCAAGGCGTTCCACATGTTGACAGTGTGTTGTGTGAAGAAAAACTTCCTTTTGTTTGTTTTAAACCTGCTGTCCATTAATTTCATGTAGTGACTCCTAGCTCTTGTGTAAATAGCACTTCCTTATCTCCTGTCTCTACACCCGTTATGATTTTATAGACCTCAATCATACCCCCTTTTCTCCTTTCTTTTCTAAGCTGAAAAGTCCCAGTCTTCCTCATATGGCAGCTGTTTCACACCCCTAATCATTTTTGTTGCCCTTTTCTGCATCTTTCCCAATATATCATTTTGTGAGATGAGGTGACCACATCTGCACACAGTACTCAGGCATAACATGGATTTATACAGAGGCAATATGGTATTGCGCACCTTATCTGCCCCCTTTCTTATAGAAACCCAAACTTCTTTGTTTGTTTGACTGTGACTGCGCACTGAGGGGATGTTTTCAGAGAACTATCCATAGTGACTCCCAGATCTCCCGCTTGACCGGTAACAGGTGTACATTGATGGTGTCTAAATTTGCTATCATTGGGATCTCTCTCCCTCCCCCACTTCCTTACATCCCTCCCCCTCCCTGTCTATCCATAGTGACTCCCAGATCTCCCGCTTGACCGGTAACAGGTGTACATTGATGGTGTCTAAATTTGCTATCATTGGGATCTCTCTCCCTCCCCCACTTCCTTACATCCCTCCCCCTCCCTGTCCCCTTC